ATTATTGGTAAGGAGAATGAAGAAGGATATTGTTGCATATGTAGCTCGGCGTTTGAATTGTCAGCAAGTAAAGTACGACCATCAGAGACCTGGTGGTTTGCTTTAGAACATTGAGATTCCTGAGTGGAAGTGGGAGCGTATCACTATGGACTTTGTTGTTGGACTCCCACAGACTTAGAGGAAGTTCGATGCAGTATGGGTTATTGTGGATAGGCTGACTAAGTCAGCACATTTCATTCCTATGGCAGCTTCCTATTCTTCGGAGCGATTGGTAGAGATTTATATCCGTGAGATCGTTCGTCTTCATGGTGTGCCCGTGTCCATCATTTCTGATCGAGGTATGCAGTTTACCTCACATTTCTAGAGGGCAGTACAGGTGAGTTGGGTATGCGAGTCGAGTTGAGCACATCATTTCATCCGCAGACGGACGGACAATTCGAGCGTACTATTTAGATTTTGGAGGATATGCTCTGCGACTGTGTTATTGACTTAGGGGGTTCTTGGGATCAGTTCTTGTCATTAGCGGAGTTTTCCTAACACAACAGTTATCAGTCGAGCATCCAGATGGATCCCTATGAGGCATTATATGGCAGGCGGTGTCGGTCGCCGGTTGGATGGTTTGAGCTGGGAGAGGCTCGGTTATTGGGTACGGATTTGGTACAGGATGCCTTGGATAAGGTTAAGATCATTCAAGATAGACTTCGTATAGCTCAGTCCAGGCAAAAGAGTTATGCCGACCGTAAAGTTCGTGATGTGGCATTCATGGTCGGAGAGGGAGTGTTGCTTCGGGTGTCACCCATGAAGGGTGTGATGCGGTTTGGGAAGAAGGGCAAGTTAAGCCCTAGGTTCATCGGGCCTTTTGAGATTCTTGATAGAGTGGGAGAGGTGGTTTACAGACTCGCGTTGCCACTAGGCTTATCAGCGGTACATCTAGTGTTTCATGTGTCCGTGCTTCGGAAGTATCATGGCGATCCATCCCATGTGTAAGATTTCAGCACTGTCCAACTGGACAAGGATTTGACCTACATGAGGAGTTGGTAGCCATTTTAGACAGGCAGGTTGGTCAGTTGATCAAAGAGTTATCCTTCGGTTCGTGTGCAATGGAGAGGTCAGCCTGTCGAGGCAGCTACCTAGGAGTTCGAGTCTGACATGCAGAGCAGATATCCCCATCTTTTCACTAGCTCAGGTACTTTTCTATGTCCGATCGAGGACGAACGGTTGTTTTAGAGGTGGAGAATGTGCTGACCCGAAAGGTCATCTCGTGGTTTAGAACCCAATTCGGGGTTCCGAGGCCTTCAAAACCTCATTTTCTTTCTCCTCGATTTGCGTGCATAGTCCGGGCGCGTTTCCGGAAAACCTTTATGTGAAAATTTGAGAAAATATTAAGTTTTGCCTTTAAAAGTTGATTTTAGTTGACTTCGGTCAACATTTTGAGTAAATGGACCAGGACCCGTATTTTGACGGTCCCGAGGGTCAGTAGTAAAATATTGGACCTAGGTGTATGCCCGGAATCGAATTCTACGGTTCCTAGCCCGAGAAATGAATTTTTGATGAAATTTTTTAAACTGGAAATATAAAGGTTTTAAGAATTTGTTTAATAATTGATTTTGTTGATACCAGATCTGTATTGTGGTTCCGGAGTCCGGTACAGGTCCGTTATGATGTTTATACCTTATCTATGAAATTTGGTGAGAAACGGGACTGATTTGACGTGATTTGGACCTTTGGTTGAGAAAATAGAACTTTTGAACTTTCTTGAAAATTTCATGCAATTTGATGCTAAATTCGTAGTTCCAGGTATTATTTTGGCAATTTGATCGCGCGAGCAAGTCCGTATTATATTTTTAGACTTGTGTGCATGTTTGGTTTGGAGCCCCGAGGGCTCGGGTGAGTTTCGGATAGGCTACGGGATGTTTTAAACTTAGAAAATTTGTTGTGTTGTTGCTTCTGGTATGTTGATACTTTGTGCTTCGCGTTCGCGAGGCAACTCTCGCGAACGTGAAGTGCAAGCTAGGCTGGGGAGGGATTTCTTCTACGCGAACGCGAGGCTTCGGTCGCGAACGCGGAGCACTGGGGGGTTAGCTCTTCGCGAACGCGACCGACCTTACGCGAACGCGTAGTGTATTGGAGGTGGGCTGGGGAAATCATTGAGTTGCTCTTCGCGAACGCGGTACCAGGCCCACGAACGCGATAGTCAGGGGGACAGACCATCGCGAACGCGAGAAGCTCTTCGCAAACGCGAAGGCTTTTCTGGCCGCAAAGCATCGCGAACACGACAGGTCACTCGTGACCGCGAAGAAGACCTGTCCAGTGTTTTAAAAACAGAATAAAAAATGGGAATTGGCCATTCTCTCATATTTTCAAAACCAAGAAGGCTTAGAGGCGATTATCAAGAGACAAATTCATCCCCAAAGTGTTGGTAAATGATTCTAAACTACTTTCTTCCAATTACCCATTGTTTTTCATCAATTTTCAACCTAAAATCTAGGTTTTCATGGTAGAAATTGGGCTTCGGTAGAATTAGGGATTTTTATATAATTGGAATTTAGACCTCGATTTGGGATCAGATTTTGAAACTAATTACATATTTGGGGTCGGGGGTGAATAGGTAATAGGTTTTGGTCCGAACCTCGAGATTTGACCAAGCGGGCCCGGGGTCGGTTTTTGACCTTTTTGGGGAGTTGTTGGGAAACTTGTAATTATGCATTGGAATTGATTTATTTAGCGATAATTGATATTATTAAGTTAATTATGATTAGATACAAGTGGTTCAGAGGTAGAAACTAAGGGAAAAGCGGTGATTGAGGCTCGAGTTCAGCCGTGGAATCGAGGTAAGTGTTGTGGCTAACCTTAGCTTGAGGGATTAGGTATTGTTGCCTTATTTGCTATGTGATTAGTTGTTGAGTATGACGTATAGGTGAGGTAACGAGTATCTATATGTTGTTGTCGGGTCATAGCATGCGAGTGAGTCTTATACCTGTAACTGTTGTATTTCTTTATACGTATTGTTCATACTTAAACTGGTTATTCTTTATGTTATACAAGTCTTATTATGTTTTCCTCGTATTGGATATTGGTTGAGTATTGACTCAAGTTGAGATTTATATTGTGAAGTTAAATGATGAAACGAGGTTGGTTATTGATGATTCCCTTGCTGGGTTGTTATTGTTCTGTTTGTTTGGGTGAGGAAGAGTGTAAAGCACGAAGGGTGATGCCGTGTCATATTCTGTGAGTGTTAATGCACGAAGGGTGATGCCGTGCTGTATTCTGAGAGTGATAATGCACGAAGGGTGATGCCATGCTGTATTGTGAGAGTGATAATGCACAACGGGTGATGCCGTGTCATTTCTGTTGTTTCGTATGGTAAGGACGAGAGTAAAAGCACGAAGGGTGATGTCGTGCACTAGTTTGTCATGTTATTACTTTCATTTGTGTAAAAGCATGTTATTTACGGTGTCTCTTTACTGTTCTATTTCAGAATTTGATGTTCCCCTCAGCATGTTTTTCCCCTTCCCATTATTATCTGTTTAGCTTCCAATTGTTGTTATTCTCTCGTATATGATTTAACTGCACAAGTTCATGCTATTGTCATGTCCTAGCCTCGTCACTACTTCGCCGAGGTTAGGCTCGGCACTTACCGGTACATGGGATCGGTTGTACTGATACTGCACTCTGCACTTTCTGTGCAGATTTCGGTACCGGACCTCGTTGACCAGAGTTGGGTTGCTGCCTTCAGACCATCAGGAGACCCAAGGTAGATCTGCCAACGTTCGCAGACTCTGGAGTTCCCTTCCTTTTATCTTAGTTTCCCAGTTTTCTTTCATTTCGAGAACAGATGTATTTTCCTTAAACCAGTATTTGTAGAAACTCTTAGTAGTTCGTGGATTATGACACCAGATCTTTGGGTAGTCGTGTATTAGTGTTTAGATTGTTATAAAATTTCCGCACTTCTTATGTTGTTTTAGTTTAAATTATTGTTAATTACTATTTTGATTAGTGATTAGCGTGTTAGATCTTTATCTATTGGCTTGCCTAGCATTCTAAAGGTTAGGCGCCATCACGATCCCGATGGTGGAAAATCCGGATCGTGACATCTTCATGTTTCAGTTTTGTTCTCCCCCTTACTCCATCCCCAAAAGGGCAAGCAAATGCAACACATTGTCTTTCTGAAAGAATACACTTACCAAACCTGAGTTTAAATTACATCACTTAATGGTTACTTAAAACAACATGATATTTTACCAAATGAGGTGCAAGTATAAATGATGCACCTGGAAATAACAAACTTCTACTCACGGATAAAAGTATCTAGTCTAATACTCCCGCCATCTATGCCTAATACACGCCTCTTCCACCAGAACCTTACTAGCTTCGTTTTTGATGAACCACACTTGTGTAGGTCCGGAGCCTTCCTCTCCCAAATCTTGTCTAACTTGTACATCTTCTTATTGCCTCCTTTGCCCCCACGATCCTTATATAATCACTCAAAAGCTACAGTCTTAGCCGTCGTGACTGCCAATTTTGCCTATTTTTTGTCTTCTTATAACGCTCTCTACACGTCCTCTGCTCCTCCTCATTTGTGCTCCTCACTAGCTTCTAATATGCCACTTTCTTAGCTTCCACTTTTCCTTGGACCTCCTCATTCCACCACCAGTTCCCTTTGTGGCCTCCTGAATAACCCTTCGATACCCCTAATAGCTCTCTAGCAGTTTCCCTAACCTTGCAATCGGTGCTATCACCCCTCCTAAGGAGAAGGTAATCAATCTGAGTCCTAGTAACCTTACTCCGGAAAGTGACCAAGCCTCCCTCTTATAAAAACACGAATTAACTAATACTAGGTCAAAAGTTTTAGCAAAATCCAACAATGAGGTTCAACCCTCATTCCTAACTCCGAAATCGAACCCGCCATGTACCTCCTCATAACACCTAACAGTCACCCCAATATGGCCATTAAGACTGCTTACAGATTGGTCAGTTTGAACTTTGAACAGCTCTCTCCATGCAATTGAAGGTAATGATGTTTAGACATTCATTTCAATAGGAATTTGCTATACAGGTACATACAAAATAGAATTTGGATTGTCAAGAAGTGCTGCCATTAACACTACATAATCACAAAGCCACCTTACAATGGGAATGAACAATGACAAGATTGAAGGATTAATGTTGATGTAGCGATTCATGCCTTTAATTCTAATCCTTGTTCCTAGAGGACCACCTAGAATACGAGAAGTCTGAAGACCTCTACTGAATGCTTGGTTGAACAACATACGAGTTTGGAACTCGGACATAGCTGGAAACCATGCCAGAAAAGAATAGAAGCAATCCCATCAAAATCTCATATCCACGAGCTAGAGTCCGAACCGATCCCCAGAATCCAGCTCTTCGAACAACAGGATAAATTCAATGCTTGAGCAATCTGGGAATAAAAATGCAAACAGAAGGATATTAACTAATAAACTAAACTTCAAATAGGTTTCCTTCGTAGATAAAGGGCTGAAATGCCAAATAATAATAAGTGCTCCCTATTTTACTTTGCCATTTTGGATAGGCGAGCACCCTCATAGAGCGAGGGGTAGCAGAAAGACTCGTGTTCTTTAATAGTCATTGCTATAAAGTTGTATTTTAACACTACCAATCAAATGCGAATCAAATTAAATTAGTCACCACAAGCTTTATAGATGATAATAATTGAATTTTTGAAGATACCCACGAAAAAATTCAATCAAATTAGTCAACACAAGCTTTATAATCACTGAAAACTGATAAAAAATTGGATCTTGAAAAAAAATAGAAGAGAGAGAGATGTACCTGAGAAGAGGTTTAGATGGAAGAACTGAAGTCACCAGCAACGTTTTGTTAGGATTTGTGTTCCATCATCATCGGAGACCAAATTTCATGTTAGGAAGAAGGGGAAAAGAAAAAATAAATTCTATAGGAAATGCCGAAAACACATACAGAGATGAAAATGGAGATAGAAAGGACTTATGGTGAATTTGAACTGAAGATAACATCATAGGTTTTCATAACCTCTTTGGCAAATGAGATGAATCCTTCCAATGGCATCTTCCTGCAAAAGAAAAGACAAATTAGTAAGATTAAGTTGCAAATTAGACAAATTACAAAGTAGAAATGATGCATCACCTGAGATTGGGTTTTGTTCTGTGAGTGAACGATAACGACATTGGGATTTGTTCGTTTGTCTGAGTTGTGAAAGGGTGCGTTGGTAATAAGAAATTGGGCATTTTGATTGGTGCAGAAATGGGACTTTTGATTGATGCAGATGTGGAATCAATTGACCCTCAATGTCCAACCCATTTCAAAGGGTATATTCTTAGACAAATAGCCGTTCTGACTCAGCATTTCATTTTTGAAAAATTAACCCAAATAGCCGCCCACCCTACCAGTTAAACTAAAAATAGCCGGTGAATGTATAGTATATGCATAAGTTTTATATTACATGTGTATAATTGTGTATAATCAGTATATAATTTATGTATATGGCTAGAAAAGTAAATAATTAATATGAACGACTATTTGAGTAAAGATCCATTTATTTTTTCTAGTCGGTATACATAGATTATACACTATATATATATATATATAATATATATATATATATATATATATATATATATATATATATATATATATATATATATATATATATATATATATATTGATTNGCAGAAATGGGACTTTTGATTGATGCAGATGTGGAATAAATTGACCCTCAATTTCCAACCCATTTCAAAGGGTATATTCTTAGACAAATAGCCGCCCACCCTACCAGTTAAACTAAAAATAGCCGGTGAATGTATAGTATATGCATAATTTTTATATTACATGTGTATAATTGTGTATAATCAGTATATAATTTATGTATATGGCTAGAAAAGNCTCTCTCTCTCTCTCTCTCTCTCTATATATATATATATATATATATATATATATATATATATATATATATATATATATATATATATATATACTAGCAAATTTTGTTTAACTGGTTGGATGGATGACTATTAAGGTTAATTCTTCTAGTAGATTAGTGGCATTTGAATTATTTGCACCGCGTGGCCTTTCTTTGAGGCTATTCTTTAAATTTTGTCTTTTTTTAATCAAGATTATAGAGTTGTTAGGGAGAACAAGAAACATTTTGTACTTATAACCAAAAAAAAAAAAAAAAAAACATTAGAGGGAGAGAGATATTTCAAATTTCTAAAAAAGCATACGGTTGTAATGGGGACATTTACAACCATCCTAAATGTTGGATATGCAATGGCCAAATTTATTTTAAGTATACTAGGCTTCACAACACTAATCCCACACATGAGCATAGTATCCCACCTTGGAACAAGCTCTGAGTCGAGTCCCAAGAAAGCCTGAGTTTGGTTGAATCCACAAACCTATGATTGTATTCGTTAATAAGTTCACAACTTTACCTGAATAATTTTTAATTCAATTTTTAATTTTGAACAACTTTACGTGAACAACTTTACATTTGCTATGTCGACGGAAGATGCAGCCCGTGAAGAGGGTAGCACCCCTCTGTCAGAGCTTTCCATTCTCATGGTAACTCTTCTTCTCCGTGTATATGTTTAACAATGTTAAAGAGCATGTAATATAACTTTTTTTTTTGTAATTAGGTGGCCTTGAGTGCATCAAAAGTCTATAGAGATCATTCTGCACAACAACTTATGATTGCTATTAATGAAAAATGGAAACTAAGGTTCAAGAAGCAATTGGTAAGTTGGAGCCTAAAGTGAAAAATAAGGTGAAGTCTGATTTGCGAAAGGACCTGAAATAAGAGCTGAAGAAAGATATTCTGGATAAACTAAAGGAATAAGAGAAGCACAAGGATGTGGTTTTAGGAAATAAATAATTAATTATAAGAAGTTACCTTCCCAAACTTGATTAAGAATGTATCAAATCGAGGCATGCTCTTTGCTGGCTCAGCGATCAGCTTGGCCAAGGGTTTAACATCATAGGTTTTCAAAACATCTTTGGCAAATGAGATGAATCCTTCCAATGACATCTTCCTGCAAATGAAAAGACAAATTAGTAAGATTAATTTGCAAATTAGATAAATTACAAAGTAGAAATGATGCATCACCTGAGATTGGGTTTTGTTCCTGGAGGGTTCTATGAGTGAACGATAACGAGATTGGGATTTGTTCGTTTGTCTGAAGGGTTGTGAAAGGGTGCATTGGTAATAAGAAATTGGGCCTTTTGAATGGTGCAGAAATGGGCCTTTTGATTGAAGCATATGTAGAATCAATTAACCCTCAATGTCCAACCCATTTCAGAGCGTATATCCTTTATACAAATAGCCGTTTTGATTCATTATTTAATTTTTGAAGAATTAACCCAAATAGCCACCCACCCTACCAGTTGAACTAAAAATAACTGGTGAATGTATAATATATGCATAATTTATGTATTATATTGCTTCCAAACGCACACGCAAGTATACGTAGTCGACAAGTAATATAGGATTGTATGTCCAGATATCGTACCCACAAGGACTTGTGATTAACTATCAACTTAATTAAACCCAAACAATTAATCTATTCAAGCGAATCCTATAGTATGATAAATTAACTCAAACTAATCTAGAGTAACAAACTAAGAGATTAAAGAAAACAATTAGGCAATCTTAGAGACGAATTTAATGAGAGACGATATTCTAGATCTAAGGGTTGGCTAACAATCCTGTTGAGTTTCCACTTAAATTGGCTAATTAAGTTATCTAGTTTATTGATTGACGGGGTTAATATTACTCGTAACCTTCTCCCGAAGTACTACTCGCCTATTCAAGCTAATTTAACCCTATATTCCTATGGAATTAGAATTAACAAGAACACATTAACAATTCATGTATAGTAACCAAGCAAGGCGATTAGGTATATTCCTATCCTAACCGCTGCCCTCTTCACCATTATCTCCAGGGATTCGTCCCTCGCCATCTGCGCTCTCATCAGATTCCGGCATCGCGGAGTCATATCCACAATTAACATGAGCCTCTCACGCCTTCGCCCGCTCTCCTTCATATGCGGCCTCGGTAACATTGTCCGCCTCCCACAGACTCTTGTATATGTCCCGCCGGGCTTCAGCGTGGACCCAAAGCTCGTGCAAGTGGCGAGGAACGACGGCAAAGGAAGACTCAAGTTGAGCCAACAGTTGTTCCTTTTCGGCCTCCAGAGCGGCGACCCGATCTCCCAAGATCGATGCTTCCCGGTCAATCTCACCGATGCATTCTTCAAGCCTCGCCTCCTTTAGGGTGGCTGTCGCCCTTTCCGATTCCTGCTCAGATTGGAGGACGGGGATAGTGTTCTCCAGAGCCGCCGCCCTTGCCGAAGCCGAAGACCAGGCACTCTTAATGCACTCCAACCCGACCACCTTTCTCTCCATCTCGGCCAATTTTCCCACCCACTCTGCACTTATCGCCTCGACCTTGATGAGATTCTGATCCATCTCGGACTGCATCAACCTCAGCTTCCCCTGAAGATACTCACACTCCACAGCAACTCCTTTGCCCAGCTCGAACTCTTCATCCTTTGCGCGAAGTTGCTCCTCGAGTGCGCTCTTACTGCGAATAGCCTGCATCAACTCTTGGTCCCTTTTCTCCAACTCCTCGCCTAGAGACCGATCACCAGGGTTCTCCTTCAGCCGCTCGTGCATCTCGCGACACTTGTTGCGATAGCGCCGATACTTCTCCAACATCTTTAAGAAAATCTTAGCCCGAGTGTCGGCCCGGCGAATACTCTCTATTTCCACCATGTACGTCTGAAAAACAAGAAGACAGGTTAAGACCGTATCACCAGGTGAAAACGAGAGAAATATGAAAGAAAAAACGTAACGTACTCTCAAGCCCATAGCGGCCACTTCATGAATCAAATCAATGTCGGGGACGTTCCGAAGGGCCACATTCTCAGCAGCAGAGCACAAAACGTCGAACTGCGGCACCAGATCCTCCGTGTCCCCTAGGAGATTAATATCCGATGAGATCTCAAGAATACGGGACGGGCCTCCCGCATGAACCACCGAGTGAGTAAGACCCTCTTCAAACATACTGACATCATCAGGATCGAGGTCCGACTCGGATTCATAGTCATCGACCACGATGCCCTTTCCCCTTTCAGCGGCCGAGGAGGGAGCACGACCATGTGTGGAAGACGAAGGCCCGTCTGAAGCCACAACGGCGGCCCCTGAACTCTGATCCCCCGCCACGACAGGTTGCTGATCAGCGACAGTGGCAGGAAGCTCTGTCGACGAGGCAACTACAACGGCTGACTCCGTTTCCACGGGTGGAGTGGTACTAACCCCCGCCCCAGATCCCGTCGAGGGAGAATCTTCTTCCAGAAGTATCACAGTCGGAGGAGTTATCCCGAACTCTACTCGCTTCCTCTTGGACAGCCCCTCCTCTTCCTCAGCACGGGGAGGTTCACCTGTCAGACGAGCGGTACGGGTCGGAACCTCAGTCTGAGGAGCAGATGACACAAGCTAATGAAAGGCTAATGGAGCAGATGACACAAGCTAGGAATAACCACGTCTGCAGACTCGACTGAAGCAGCCCTCAACGAAGACCGAGAAGTAGACGTTGTAGCAAGGCGAGCAGATGACACAAGCTAATGAAAGGCTAATGGAGGAGCCCGCGCTCTCCGCACTCTCCCTGACATTGACAAGCAGCATGTAAGAAACCAATTAAAAAGAGAGGAGAAATAGCACATAGAAACGACATCTCACCCGTAAGGGGCCTGCGTCCATATTTTTTGTAAAAAGCCGACCATGTACGAACCCCCGCCGAATGAGGAAAGATGTCACTCACCCACTCGCGGATACCATCGACAGATGTAGGGGCAGTTTCGCAGGTGCAGAAACATAACAGTGTTTAGTACTGTAACAGAAAGTGGTCGGGCATCTCTCCGACTAAAAAGATAGAAACTTACGCGCAAAGTTCCACTTCTCGGAAAACCCCGTTGGAGCCGCCACAAGGTGCTCGGTCCGCACATAGAAATAATTCTCATAGAAACGACGGTTAGCCCAGTCGTCCATCTTCACCACCAAACTCTTCGACCACCGGTGGCGCATGTGAATCATCCTGCCGTAAATGAGCTGAGGGGCGAAGAAATTGAGCATGTGCTCCAAAGTGATCTCACGACCGGTGAGCTCCGCAAACTTAAGCAACATAAGGAACAGTTTATACAGGTACGACAAAAGTTGAGCAGGGCATACCTCGTAAAAACGGCAGAAATCTGTCACTAGGAGAGGAAGAGGAAGTGTGTATC